ATGTGGGTAAGTTTTATAAATAAAAAAAAATAAAGAAATAAACAAGATTTTGAACATAAAGCTGAAAAATGATTATGAATTGGATTCAGAATGATAATCAAAACGTAGATGGAGTCGATCAACACCCCAAAGCTTGACAGTCATTATTACCTCTTCATTGGTCGACATTTTATTCCATAACGTTGCACAGTTTTGATGCTGTTTTATGTCTGATTATCTGTTGCATCTGTTGTTTCAGTTTCTTCTTCTCTTGTGTTTTGGAAATTCTGTACAGAAGATGTGTACTAGCGCCCCCTACCATATAACAATGAAAACACGGATTCTCGGAGCACAAGTATAGCTCAAATATATTTAGACTTTTTCTAAGTATAAGTCAAGTATACTTAAATGTCATTTTAAGTATAATTCTGTAAAGTATTATAATATCAAAGTATAATTCTGTAAAGTATTATAATATCTGTAAAGTAAATAAAGCCCATGTCTGAGAAGTACATAAAATTAGACAAAGTATACTTTCCTATTTTTTAGTCTAAAAGACGTATACTAATAGCACACTTGAATAAACTTCTTTTTCATAAGGGTCTGTAAGTTATTTAACCATGTGCTTCTATGTCTTTGGAAGGCTTTTGTCTTTCGAACACATTAAAATGCACAAATTCACAAACTTTTTTTGCCATCTGATCCTCTTTCACCTGATATATTTACTTGAAGTACCCCTGAGATTTTAAAATAAATCACATTTGAATGTTCATGGTTCTCTGATGTTGGTTAATGGTCACATGACATGCAGGTAAACAAATAAAATATTTAATTTTTGATAGTGTTTTATTTTGATTGATTTTAAAAGTATTTATTTTAATTTAACATTTTTATGATTTAATTAGTTAATAGCGTTTCATTAAGCTCACAAACCCCCTGCAGTTCCTTCACAAATCCAGTTTGGGAAACCTTGACGTAATGTTTAACGCGCTTCATGTTGTCAAAAACAACAACTGCAATATATTTTCTAAATCTTTGCATTTTTATATCGATATAGTACAAGATTATCCTATTTAAATCATTGTGATAAATGAGTTAGGTCAAAAACAATCGAATTATAGTCTTGTTATATTACCTAAAAATGTGTAATGTAATGGATTACGTTACTGACATGTATTTTGGAATCAGTAATGGATTACAATTTGTAAGTAATCTACCCAGCTCTGCATATTAGTACCTTTCGAAAAAAGGTACCGTCCCAGTACAGCTTTTGTTTTTTTGTTTTTTGGAGAATGTAAAATGCTTCATATCATATTTTCATTTTCAGTCCAGTCAAATGAGAGTACGAAATCTTGGTTTGTTGGCGTCTCTGCACATTGTTCACTTTTTCATCACTCGTGTGGTAGGTTCTGAAGTATTACGCCTGGGAATCATCTTTTGAGGCTCAGGTTCAGGAAATTCGAGAGAAGGAGCTGAAGGTGATGAGGAAGTTTGCCTACCTCTCATCGGTCTCCACCTTCATTTTTTCATGTGCTCCAGCTATTGTGAGTATAACAAAGTTTTTATATATGAAATGATTTGAATGTTGTTTCTTGAACATGTTTAGTGCAGGTTGGGATATGCCGGTATCAAATTTTCATGTTGCGATTAATTGCTAATGCTTTTATCACGGTATTATCACGGTATTGAAATTTAGTTTTAAAAAAGTGCTATCGCATTACCGAAAACCGGCACAAGTCTAAGTGCAATAGTTGCTAAAGAGTATTCAGAAGCAGATTTAAGTCTAAAATTCTGCATCTCATTTAGTATTTTTGACTAAAACTAAAGTGTGTTGAATGCTTGAAAAGTAAAATATATCTCAAATGCACATTTCAGTAACATTTTTATTTTGGAGTCATTTTATTGACTACTAAACTATTGTTGCTTGTTTGTGAGGTCTGGCCGCAGATGAAGCTCATATCATGTCTTATTGTCTTCAGGTGTCTCTGGCGACCTTCGCTGTGTTTGTGTCTGTGGGTCCTGATAACATCCTGGATGCAGAGAAAGCTTTTACCTCCATCTCACTCTTTAACATACTGCGCTTACCACTCGCCATGCTTCCAGAGCTGATTTCCGTCATGGTTCAGGTATTAGAATAAATACATTGTTTCATATTTATATTGTTGTTTATATAGAAGCTTTTCATTGCTACCTTTCAATCAATCATATTAAAAACTATTACTGAAGTTGTTAGAAATTTGTACTCTTTGTACTTTGTTTAGACCACTGTGTCTAAGAAAAGACTCGAGAAATTTCTGAGTGGTGATGATCTGGACACAATGGCGGTAACGCGTGATGACAGCCACAGTAAAAACTCATTGTTATTTCCTAAGAGATTTTTAGACAAACTTGAGAACAAACTTCTAATTTTTGACAAACTTCTATGAGATTTGTAGACGAGCTGATTTCAAATTGTTTTAGAATAGCTAAATTCATCTGGTCTATCACTACTTGATGAACTCGTTAATGTTTGTAGTTTTTGTTACTAGTTACTAGTCATTTAACATGTGGCAAAGAACATACTTCAAGTCCACTTCAGAGCAACAACAGTAGTGTAGTGTGAAATCTGAGAGAGTGGTCAGTGTTCTCATAATTTGCTGAATTAGGTGCCGCCATGAGCATGACTTATGGCACATATGCCTGGGAAAGAGACACAGAACCAGTTCTGAAAAAGTGAGATTTGCCATGTTTCACTACAGCATTTCACTTACATATTTCTACACTGGTACAGTATATAAAAGATGCAACTAAAACTGTTATTTAGTATTACTGCTGTCATTCGCTGTGTGTTTGCATGAGTGTGTGTGTTCTATCTAACCAGTGATTATATTGTTCAGCGTCTCTCTGGACATTAAACCGGGTCGTCTGGTGGCAGTGGTTGGGGCTGTAGGGTCTGGAAAGACGTCGCTGATATCCGCTCTGCTGGGAGAACTGCACAGCCTCAGGGGTCGCATTAATATCAAAGTAATCAAACAGATCTCTATGAAAAGGGTTTTTGCCTAGTTTCAGATTCAGTCTTCTACTTGAACAAATAATGTCACTCTTATGTACTGTCTGGGCCGTTAGTTACATGTCTCTTATTCTCTCTCAGGGGTCTGTAGCGTATGTGCCGCAGCAGGCCTGGATTCAGAACATTACTCTGAAGGACAACATCTTGTTCGGCTCTAATCTGGATGAGGAGCATTATCTGTTTGTGTTGGATGCGTGTGAGCTCGGGCCAGACCTGGATCTTCTGCGAGGAAGAGATCAAACTGAGATTGGAGAGAAGGTAAAGTGTGTGGTAGGGGTAGGGTTGCAAAAAGGTGGAAAATTTCCAGTAAATTTCGGAAACATTCCATACATCTTGGACATTTTCCAGGATTTTTTGGAAAGTTTACGGAAATTTACCAGAAATTTTCCACCCCTTTGCAACCCTAGGTAGGGGCGATATACCAGTAGACACGATTAACCGGAAGAAATTTGTCAGTCAATTTTGGACTATTGTCTGTATTTCAGTTAAACGCTCACGTGACATTGCTCTGCTATGTGGTCACGAAAACTTATCTTTTGCATATGTTTTTTTAATCATTGTGGTTTCAAAACAAGTGATTTTAATGCAGTCAGCAGCAAAAGGGAACTCATTTGGCTATATGTGCAAGAAAATGTGTCACAGTATATTGGATCCGGGCAGCTCTTAAAGTGACAGTAGCCTTCTACTTAAAGTGACAGCATATTCCTACTGTCATTCATGTTAATAAAACAACAAAAGTGAGAAAATCTCTTACTGCTCTTGACTAAATCACTTTTGTAACTTTAATAAGAAATATTTAATTTACACAGTGAATAATATACAGTGTTTTTATACATTTAATTCCTTGTATGTAGCATTTCTTATTTATTTGTTGTACTGTAGTTTTTTCCCTATTGCTTGTAATTAGTTTACTTTCCTTATTTAATCGCTTTTTTTACAAGTTTACTTGGCTTCAGTGAGCATGAGTTTTTTTTATTTTATTTTATTTAGTCTAGTAATAGTTTTTTTGTGATATTGACACAGTGGTGACAAGAATTATGAAATTTCTATGGCATCAAAAATCTTGACCTTGTTTTAAGAGCCTGAGCCTTAGTGCACGCTGCCACAGACTGACACTCACACCCAGTAAATGACAAAACTCCTTCCAAAATTTGGAAACAAATTGGGGTCCCCTGTCGGAGACCACGTCCATCGGGAGGCCATGAATGAGAAAGACGTGATCAACAAAAGTAACTGCTGTCTCCTTGGCAGAGGATAATTTGGGCAAGGGAATGAAATGGGCCACCTTCTAAAACCGGTGCACTATGGTCAAAACAACCGTATTGCCCTGGGAGGGTGGTAGGGCAGTGACAAAATCGAGCACGATGTGGGACCAGGGTCTCGAAGGGACAGACAGCAGTTGAAGTAACCCCTCCGGGGGTCGATTGGAAGTCTTGTCACGAGCACAAACTGAGCAGGCCAAAACAAAATCCCGGATGTCACGAGCCATGGAACGCCAGCAGAATCGCTGTTTAACAAGAAAGTTAGTACGATTCACTCCTGGATGACAAGACACGTTGGAACAATGACCCCACCGAATAACGTTGGACCGTAAACTCTCCGGCACAAATAACCGACCTGGTGGGCACCTGGGCGGAGGCATTACCCCTTCTAAGGCCGCACGAACCTTCGACTCGACCTCCCATGTGAGTGTAGAGACAACGAGTTTCTCAGGTATTATACACTCGGGAATGGACGGGCGCTCGGAATGATCAGAAATACGAGATAAGGCATCGGGTTTGATGTTCTTGGAACCCGGATGGTAGGAAAGGGAAAAGTCAAAACGACCGAAAAAAAGTGCCCACTGAGCCTGGGAGGAGCCTGGAGTTAAGACGTTTAGCGGATCTAAATATACTCGATGTTCTTATGATCGGTCCAGACGATAAAGGGTACCCCCCAACCCTCTAACCAATGATGCCATTCCTCCAAAGCTAACTTGACTGCCAGCAGCTCTCTGTTACCAATGTTACGTTCGAGGAAGAGCGCTCGGAAAGAACCGCGCCTACCCCCACCTCTGATGCATCGACCTCCACCACAAACTGATGTGTGGGATCAGGGGCTATGAGAATAGGAGCTGAAACAAAGCGGCTCTTGAGGTTGGCAAATGCAGCTTCAGCTGCACTGGACCACCTCAACATTGTTCTGGTGGAGGTCAAGGCAGTCAGAGGAGTAGCTAGTTGGCTGAAATTGCAAATAAAATGCCGATAGAAATTGGCAAACCCCAGAAACCTCTGCAGGGCCTTACGGGAATCTGGGGTTGGCCAATCCACCACAGCCTTAACCTTATCGGGATGCATGCGCATTCCCTCGGATGAGATGATGTATCCCAAAAATGGAACTGACTGTGCATGGAACGCACATTTCTCCGCCTTGACAAAAAGCCCATTCTCGAGCAGCCTCTGGAGCACCCGCCTGACGTGCTGAACATATTCCTGGAGAGAAGAAAATATCAATATGTCAACCAGGTAGACATGTATGAATTGATCGACCATGTTTCTCAGCACGTCATTAACTAGTGCTTGGAAAATCGCAGGGGGGTTGGACAGCCCGAAGGGCATAACCAGATATTCGAAGTGCCCCCTATGGGTATTAAACGCGGTTTTCCACTCATCCACCTCTCTTATGCGGACCAAATGATAAGCGTTACGCAAATCCAATTTGGTGAAGATAGATGCTCCCTGCAACCGCTCGAAGGCTGAAGACATCAACGGCAAAGGGTAAGTATTCTTTACCGTGATGTTGTTCAACCCTCGGTAATCAATGCATGGTCACAGGGAACCATCCTTCTTCCCCACAAAAAAAATCCTGCCCCAACGGGAGAAGGACAAATGAGCCCGGCTGCTAGAGAATCAGAAATGTATTTCTCCATGGCCTCCCTTTCTGGAGCAGAAAGCGAGCATAACCTGCCCTTAGGCGGAGACGTACCTGGTACTAGATCTATTGCACAGTCATAGGGATGATGTGGAGGAAGAGAAGCAGCCCGGGACCTACTGAACACTTCCTTCAGGTTGAGGTACTCCTTGGGCACGTTAGACAGGTTCACCGGCTCATTCTGCTACAAAGAACAAGACACAGACAAACAAGCAGACATAAGACAGGATGCATAACACTGATCACTCCACGCCGAGATGGAATTATGGCCTCAGTCCACCCTAGGATTGTGATGCACTAGGCAGGGGTGGCCCAGAATGACAGGAGCCAGCGGAGATTCAGTGAGCAGAAGTGCGAGTTTCTCAATATGATTTCCTGAAGTGATGAGGGTGACTGACCCAGTAGTATGTCTGATGCCAGGAAGAGCCTGTCCATTGAGTGCATTGACAGAGATTTTATGGATGAGAGGAACAATGGGAATCTGAAGGTGTTGTGCCAAGTTGTAATCCATAAAATTACCTTCCGCTCTGGAATCCAGCAGGGGCTGGCAGTTGTGGACTCTGGCTGCCCATTGCAGTCTTACCGGGAGGAGAGTTGTGGACGAGGATTTCTCCAGGGACAATCCGCCCGACAGTAGCCTCAGCTCTACTGCCGGGCTTGGCCTTTTACTTGACAGTCAGGAAGTTCCGACACTAGCTTGCGGTGGCCTCGCTGATCGCATTGCTGTAGACGTGCATCTACCCAAAGAGCTAATTCGATGAGTCCATCAAGATCAGTGGGTAATTCCACTGTGAAAATCTCCTTCTGAATCCGGTCAGCCAACCCATGCAGGAACATGTCCCACTGCGCCTCCTCGTTCCACTTGCACTCAGCTGCCAATGTCTGGAACTCGATGGAATAGTCCGAAACGGGTCTGTTCTCCTGCTGTAGATCGGCTAACATGCGCGCCGCCTCGTGACCCGCTACCACGCGATCAAAGACACGTTTCATCTCCTCCGAGAGTTTGTGGAACGAAGAGCAGCAAGGATGTTGGTTCTCCCACACCGCCATTCCCCACAGAGCTGCCTGTCCCGACAGCAGTGTCAACACTAAGACCACCTTAGACTGTTCGGTAGAAAAAGTCAAAGGCTGCAGAGAAAAGAACATTGAGCATTTAGTTAAAATGATTGGGTTCACCAGCATATGCTTCTGGTGTGGGTAGACGTGGCTCATGTTGATGCCCGATGTTTCTAGAAGTGGGAAGAACTGGCGGCGGGGGCGGCGCAGTGGGCGATCTCAGTTGTTGAAATTGGGTTGTGAGCTCGGACACCTGTGCTACCAAGGCTTGCACGGCTCAACCTGTTGCTAACATCTGTTCCTCCTGATGATCCATGCGTGCATTGTTGTTGGACAAAAAGTTCCGTAGATCCGATGCATTCACTGAATCCATTGAAGGGTCAGATCGTTCTGTCATGAATACAAAGGAGGATTCAGTAGCAAATGTGGAATATAACAATTTATTAGGAAGAGTCCCAGCAAGACAAAAGGCAAGAGTCAAATAAAGCATGTGCAGAATATTAGTCACTCTTAGTAGCGCAGGAACGCAAATGGGCAGCCGTGGATCTCCCGGGAACATTCAAAATCCGCAAGAGAACTGGAACAGAAATCTAAGGAGATGAAGAAACTGGAACAGGGAACTTGAACACAACCGGGAACACAGCGGGAACACCAAACTATCTGACAACACAGGACAGATAGCACAGGTATTAAATAGCTGAGCTGATGATCTACAGCTGGCGCTGATCAACCAGTCAGCAGCAATCACAGACACACCCACACACACAGAGAAAGCGAGAACGAGTCAGTGAACCCATAAACCGTGACAGTAACCCTGCATTCTAGATAGTGTTTCTCTCAACCCTGTTCCTGGAGGAACAGCAGCGGTACACATTTTACATGTCTCTTATCTAACTCATCTGTTTCAGATTTTGAGTGATGGGTTCAATTATTTGATTAGAAACCGTTCAGGAGTATGTAGTGCTAGTGTGCCTCCAGGAACAGGGTTGGGAATCACTGCTCATTGAATCTTTCATACGCTGTACCACAGGGCATCAATCTGAGCGGGGGACAGAAACAGCGGGTGAGTCTAGCCATGGCAGTCTACAGCTCTGCAGACGTGTACCTTCTAGATGACCCACTGTCTGCTGTAGACTCACATGTGGGAAAACATCTGTTTGAGAGGGTGATTGGACCCAAAGGACTGCTCAAAGACAACGTAGGAGACTAAAGGCAACATTCTTTCTACACTAAAACGCTTAAAATTGTTACCAATTTTAGGCTCATTTCACATTTCCGCATTTCATATTTTATTTTCTATGGTATCAGAATTTCCTTAGGCTGGCTTCTCAACTGATCTCAAATGGAGACTAATCCCTAAAGAAAATACAATGCTCTGTTGCTAAGCAAAGAGTATTTTCTGCTTCCCCATAAATTCCTGCACTGCTGTTCTGTAATCATTTAATATTAAAGGGGTCAAATTATGTTGTTAAAAATAACATTATTTTGTGTATTTGGTGTAATGAAATGTGTTTATGCGGTTTAAGGTTAAAAAAACATTATTTTCCACATACTGTACATTATTGTTTCTCCTCTATGCCCCACCTTTCTGAAATGCGTCGATTTTTACAAAGTTCATCGGTCTGAAAAGCAAGGTGTGCTGTGATTGGCCAGCTATCCAGTGCGTTATGATTGGCCGAATACCTCAAGTGTGTGACGGAAATGTTACGCCCCTACCATATTGTGATGTCAGGCCGGAGCGATGATTCACAAACATGAAAACCCATTATAAACGAGGCATTCGTTGCATCCAGTGGGGACATAATTATGGATTATAATGACTTATACTGTCTTTTTATGTGTTGCGTTGCATCGCGCCGCGTAAACATAAAACCATGTCTGCATTTGTGATCGGAGAAATGACAAACAACAAGCCCTACTCTACACTGCCCAAAAAAACTCGCTTTAAATATAAAAAATATAAAATATAAAAACGCTTTAAATATAAAAAAAAACTTACTTGTGGCGGCAGCAACAATACTACAGCGAGAATAAAAGTTACACCTTTCTTTCTTTGCGTGAACATTTGGGCGGCGTTATGCAAATATTCCCACATAGTGACGTAGACATGTGGGGGCGTGTTAGAACGAGCCGTTTTAGGTAGGCGTGGCTGACTCTTAACTTTTATAAAGAATATCTCTTTGGATTTGAGACTTTAGTCTTTGCAACTTTACAGATCTTCTTTATGCAGCAAGAGCTTGTAACACTCCAAAGAGAAAGGAAAAATTGAAATCGCATCATATGACCCCTTTAAATCAAATACATTGCTCTGTTTTGTCCCCTTCTCTTTCTCTGTAGACTCATATCCTGGTAACACATGGGATCAGCTTCTTGCCATATGTAGATGAGATCATTGTATTGGTAAATGGGGTGGTGTCCGAGGTAGGATCATACGACGGTCTTCGAGCCAGTAAAGGAACTTTCTCTGAATTCCTGGAAACGTACGGCGAAGACGAAAGCAACAACGCTGATGCCAGAAAAGGTTTGTCTCCCATCCAACATTTGCACTTGCTTCTGAGTTTCGAATATCATCGTAAATTTGAACACATTCTGAAAGCTTTATTGAGGTGCTTGTGAGGTGTACATGCCTCAGCTGCTAAAGTGTGGGTTTCTTTCATTTTCTCTTGGTTGTTTTATTTCTTGGTGCAAGTTGCTTTCCTCATGCTGTTCTGGTTGTGAATGCCCAAAACTGTGAACTGACAACCACATTACAACTGAAATATTTACCTTACTGAAGAAAATACACACAGACCGGCCGCCATATCACCCTGTAGCCCAAGACTGGTTGCCCACTGATATTACTTAGGTGGGGTCTATGGGTGTCGTGTTTCATGTTGTGTTTTTATTCATCTTGATTTCTCAAAAGTTCCTTCATGGCTTGACTTTTGCTCTGATATGCGGTGTGTGTCTTTCCAAATCGTGTCCAGCCAATTGAATTTGAAGGCTGCAGTTCAGTCCGCAACTAAATAGTGAAAATAATTGTGTAATACTATTATAAAAAAATAAATAATAGTTTATTTTTAACGAAACAGCTCTTAAATTCACACAATTGCATTCATACTAAGCATTTACAAATCTGAAGGTGAAATGGTAACAAAATCCTCGGATGTGGACAATATTGATCAAAAAAGCATTCAGGGATCAGCACTATGAAAATTCACTGGAAACAGTAGACAATTCGGGCACCTTTGGCATACTCTTTTCAATATACCATGACCCATGATCTCTAAAACATTACATAGTAATAAATAGGCCTATACTTGAAATGTACAGTTTTGAAGTACTGTGTGTTTGCATATCTGCTAATATCAAAACATGTACACACTGCGCACATGAACTAACTTTATATGTTGTTCTCACTGTCCAACAAGCATCAGCTCAGGAGTCAGACTATGAGCAGATTGACACACTGCCGGAGGGTTTGGAGCCACAGGCTGATGACTCTCCTGAAGACATTGTCTCAAGCACACTAAAGAGAGAAAACAGCCTGCGCCACAGCCAGCGGCACAGCAAACGAAATGGAAGGTAAAATCAACACACCACAGACTAATATTCAACATGTCAGAAGAACATTTCTCAGATATAACTGAATATTGGCCCAACTGAGCAAGTATTCTCTTGATCTTCACATACCGAAATGCACGTTCTGAATGAAAATCACTTTGAGTGACTTCATTGCAGGAGTGCATTTTTGTAATCACCAAGGCTGTTTTATTTCTATTTCTTGTCTTTAGTGTGAGAGTGAGGAAAAACAGCTCTGTTCGGTCCAAAAAAGACTCTGGCGATAAGAAGGGACAGCGACTGATTGAGAAAGAGGCGATGGAGACAGGAAGGGTACGTAATAGTATCTAAATGCAGTTTTGATATTCCATGTTTTATCAATTTTTCCTCACTTATTTTGTGCAAATTATTTTTTGATCCATAAACCAGGTGAAATTCTCAGTGTATCTTCAGTACATGAGGTCTATGGACTGGTGTTTCGTCACCTGGAGTTTCCTGTTCTACTTCATCCAGAATGTGGCCATCATTGGTCAAAACCTGTGGCTCAGTGACTGGACTGAGGATTCTGTAGAATATTTCAACACAACCTACCCAGCTTACATTAGAGACATGAGAATAGGTGTCTTCGGAGCCCTGGGATTGGCACAAGGTATGAGCAGAAAGAGGTTTAAGAAATACTTTCACAAAAAGAATGAAATAGAGGACAACCTCTATGTACAGAATATTATATTTATAGAAGCTCACTCTTAAAAATAAAGGTGCTTCAAAAGGTTCTTCAAGCCATGCCATAGAAGAACCATTTTTGCTTCCACAAAGAAGCATTCAGTCAAAGGTTCTTTAAAGAACCATCGCTTTCTTACCGTTTTGTAATCTGAAGAACCTTCTTTCGCCACAAAGAACCTTTTGTGAAACAGAAAGGTTCTTCAGATGTTAAAGGTTCTTTATGGAACAATTTAGACAAAAAGGTTCTTCTATGGCATCGTGAAGCACCTTTATTTTTAAGAGTGCCGTCAATAAGTTTTATATGAATTTCTTATGATCCTGAGCAAGATGAATAATTTGTTGTGAGTTTGATAAAATGTTTATACCCAAAAGTTATAATTTAAAAGTTATAATTTGCTTATGGCAAGCTGAATAAAAAAATAAATAAAGCCTGCAGCCTTTTGTTTCACAGGGAATATCGGCAGACACAGCACATGGATGTTCCTTTGTCACTAAGTAATGGTATATCTTTCCCCGTCAGGTTTTCTGGTGTTTTTTGGCACTATACTCATAGCTGATGGATCCATTTCTGCATCCAGGACTCTACACACAAATCTGCTGTCTAATATTCTGAAAGCACCCATGGTGTTCTTTGATACCACACCTTCAGGACGAATAGTCAATCGTTTTGCCAAGGTATAGATGGGCCTGATTTAAACTTGATTTTGAGGAAGACGGTTGCTCTAAAGCCAAAACAAAGATCTACTATTTGTAATTGTAAAGTTGTAGCCTCTGATTAGTATGTTGTGCAGTAAGAAATATGGACCACAATTATATAAAATTAGATTTTTTTTGGACAATTGTTTAACTTTGCCTGTTCTTAAACTGAATTTTTTTTTTTCTCCCCAATGTGGCTTATAATTAGGATATATTTACAGTGGATGAGATGATCCCGATGTCCTTCAGATCCTGGATTCTCTGTATTCTGGGAGTTCTAGGGACCTTGTTCGTTATCTGTCTGGCTACTCCAATCTTCACCGCAGTTGTTGTACCAATGGCTGTTGTCTACTACTTTGTCGAGGTAACACAGCTACCAATAATGCACACTGTATAGACAATAGGTTTCTAAAACACATTTCTCTTACAGAATAAGAATCAGCCATTTGAGCGAAAGAATTCAAATCTATCCTGCTGCTGTCCAGTCATTTTGTATAAACCTTCTTCCTGTATTTTAGAGGTTCTATGTTGCTACATCCAGGCAACTCAGACGACTGGACTCTGTATCTCGATCACCCATATACTCACACTTTGGAGAAACCATATCAGGCCTCTCTGTGATAAGGGCATATGGGCACCAGCAACGTTTCCTAAAGCAAAATGAGGACTCCATTGATCAGAATCTCAAAAGTGTCTATCCTTTGTTTGTTTCTAACAGGTCAGCATTGGGTACTCTACGTCAAGCTTTTTTTTTTTTTTTTTCAAGTGATACATCTGTTTTTGCATTATAAGCACTTAATGTTGCTTGTTGGGTTTCAGGTGGCTGGCCATGCGTTTGGAATGCCTGGGGAATCTGGTGGTGTTTTTCGCAGCTTTGTTTGCTGTGATCTCTCGTGACTCTTTGAATAGTGGATTGGTTGGACTGTCCATCTCATACGCCTTAAGCGTAAGTTTTAGATTTTGAGGTACTTGTGATAGTCAAATAACCTTAAGTGTGCTCAGTAACACTGTGTGCCACTACTCATGTTCTTATTAGGTGACTCAAATTTTGAACTGGCTTGTGAGAATGACATCAGAATTGGAGACCAACATTGTTGCTATGGAAAGAGTGAGGGAGTACACAGAGATCAAAAATGAGGTGTGATTTTTGGATTAATCTACTAAAAACCATTTTCTTAATTTGACTGACTTTATTAAATTATTTACTATAAACTAGCCTAAAACTGCAGCAGGCTTGATAGAAACGCACTCTTAAAGGTTTATCAATACTGCTGACTACATGTTTCAAAACCTTTATGTGAATTTTTTCCTATCACTAATTATTGATGGCTTAAATTTTAAAATCTCAAGAGTATCATGAGCAACTTTACAAGAATTATTGTTTGAAGTCTTTGCTAAAATTGCATGACCATATTTCCATCATTATTGTGAAGGTAGACAAGTCACCTGAAAGAGCATTAAGTCACTGAGAATGAGTAAATCATACTTAATAAATTTGACACCTGGAAGGTAGGGGTGTCCAGTCCTGCTCCTAAAGGCCGAACATCCTGCAGAGTTTAGCTCCAACTACCAACAGACTTGCCTGGAGGTTTTTAGTGCAGCAATGTCCAATCCTGCTCCTGGAGGGCCGATATACTGCAATGAACAGCTCCAACACCAGTTAAACACACCTGACAGCTGAATAACTAGAAAGTTCCAGGCAGGTGTGCTGAGGCAAGTTGGAGATAAACACTGGCCCACCAGGTGTAGGATTGGACACATCTGTTCTAGTGAGTCTGAAGACCTTGATTAGCTGGTTCAGGTGTGTTTAATTAAAGTTGGAGCTAAACTCTGTAGGACAGTGGCCCTCCAGGAACAGGAATTTCCAGGCAAGTGTAAATATACTTCACCAGTTTTACCATATTTGAACAGATCCATGTGAAATCCGGTGATTTCCCAGTGATAAATGCAATTGGAAAAAAACTTTTGTTTATTTTCTTAATTCTGTAATTTAAATGACAATATTTGTCACCAGGCTCCATGGATCACCAGTAATCGTCCTCCAGATGACTGGCCCACTGCTGGGAATATTCGTTTTGATAACTATAAAGTTCGATACCGGCCTGAACTGGAGCTCATTCTCCATGGAATCACATGTGACATTGCAAGCACTGAGAAGGTGAGGAGACATACCAGATTCTTAGTATATTTTTTTGAAATATTGAAAAAGCCACTTGAACAAATTTGTTTGTGTTTCTCCCCCCACCCCCAATTTTACTCAGATTGGCATTGTTGGTCGAACTGGTGCAGGCAAATCCAGTCTGACCAACTGTTTGTTTCGCATTATTGAAGCTAGTGAAGGTCGAATCCTCATTGATGGTATTGACATCTCCACCCTGGGGCTTCATGATCTCAGGAGCAGACTTACCATCATTCCACAGGTGCTTGGAGAACACGAGATACATTCACAATCAGCAAAATTTTGCCAAGTAGCACAGCAGTTACCAAGGGTTTGCTGAGAGGTGCTTCAATAAACAGATGCAATTATTTGCTTTTTGTTAGCCCTAAATGAAAACATGTTTTTTGTGTGTGTGTGTGGGTGAGTAGACTTGTCATTTAAATTACAATGTTAAAAGACAGTGTTAAGACCATAGAATAAACTACAAAGACTATACCATACATTCACCACAGGTTAAAAAAACATTGTCTCAGTTGTTATAAAAATGGTTATATGCATAGCCCAAATGTTTTCTTCCTTTGTGGACTTCATTACCTCAATCTGTAGTAATCCTCAGTGTAGTAATTCCCTCAATTTGACATTCTGGTATAGGTTTACTTCAACTGCACTGACTTCAGGAACAGCTTGTCTGTGGGGTAATACTACTTTGTTTATTACACCTGAACTGCGGTTGGGCAATTCTGGTGCTCAGGGTGCACTATCCTGCAGAGTTTAGTTTCATCCTGGATCAAACTCACCAGCTTGTAGTTTTCTAGTAATCCTGAAGACTTTGATTAGCTGGTTCAAGTGTGTTTGATAAGGGCTGGAGCTAAACTCTGCAGGACTGTGGCCTTCCAGGAACAGGTTTGGAGACCCTTGTCTTAAAGGCCTGAGTTGCCCACTCCTGCCCTTAACAGAACATATTAGTACATATAAGGTACAAAGATGTCCCTTTAAAGGTACTGTCTGAGTGACAAGCTGTTGAATCCCTAAAGGTACAGTTTGTTCCGAGGAGACAATCTGCTTGCGTGATTTGTACTGTGTGGTAGGAGACAGCTGGCAAACACACAATTTAATAATTTACCCCAGAGAGGCCTGTTTATTGGACACTACTGGGATTTAGTTGAAATAAGCGTCCATGTGTGAGCTGGGGTGAGGAAGGGAATGCTTTGAGCTTTCGGTAACAGGGCGTGCTCTGTAATGCTAAATTAAGAAAGTGCTATGTTTTTGTTTGTAATCTATACACACTGATAGAAACAAACATGCTAAACGTCATAAAAATACATTTAAAGGGGTCCTATTGTGCTTTTTTTATTTTAAGTTTAGTTAGTGTGTAAATGTTGCATAAAAAAGATCTGCAATGTTGCAAAGATCAAAGTCCACTCCAGAGGGAGGTATTCTCTTCAACAGAAGAGAATTTTCACTTTTCAGGAACTAACAAATGGCTCGTTTGGACTACAGCAATATTGTGACATCACAAAGTCACTTATTTAAATAATTTGCGTCCACATAATATGGAAAACAGAGGGCAAGGCCTGGCTGAGCTGAGCCAGAGAAAATGAAGAAGAGCTGCTGTAGTAGCATATTTTCACCATGTCACAGTTATGGTAAGGGCTGTGACATTTCTAGAACAAGCTCTAAGCAGTTGGCCAATCACAACGCACTGAGTCAGCTAACCAATCAGAGCACATTTCGTATTTCGGAAGGAGGGGTTTCATCGAAACAGGAACTATTTGAGACAATAGGGCCTTTCGCACCGCTTTGTGTCAATGTCAATGTCTACTTACGTCACGATTAGTACCAGTTGTGCTGGTTAGACCCTGCTCCGGAGTAGGAGCTAATTTGGTTCTCGAAAAAGGCAGTCCGGTACTAAAATCGCTCCTAGTTCCGGCGGTGCGAAAACGCCAAAAAGTGGCTAGTTCCACAATTAGTTCTGGTACTATGAAAAGGTTCCTGCGGTGCGAAAGGCCCTAGTGGGGTGTTTGAGACGGACCCTGTGTTCCATTCGGAAGGGCTCTTCCCTATGCCCTAATCCCTTCAAAGGGTTTACCCTCCGGAGTGAGAGCTTCAAAGGGTTGAAGGGTGTAGGGGACCAAACAACTGTTTCTTGAAGTTCCCTTTTTTGTCATCATCACGTGCCGTCATCATGCAAAGAATCTGCCCAAAGGATCATGGGAGCCCGAAGTGTCCATCAGTTGTACCCTTCGAAATCCTTCATTCCGAAGGGCCCTTTAAAGTGGCCAGTTTTCACCACTTCGTTTTGGAACGAGCCTTCAATATGGCGGCCATGATTGTTTTCACTCCGAAGTGCCCTTCGGAGGGCGATATATCCCATTTTGAATGCACTGGGAGTGGAAAGAGAGAAGGTGCTGCAATTATGGGCAGCGTAAGTGTGATGAGCTAAGTGTGTTTTCTTAGCAATAGATTCTATTTACATTAAGTGAAAATAGCAGTATTTTTAGCGATATACTATTTACACTAAGTGCAAATAGTGATAAATTCTATTTTACACTGTAAAAATATGAGTATTTTATTTGCAGTAATAATAGTTAGATGCTATTTATAGTACTAAGTGCAAATAGTGGCAGATATCTGCACCTCAGTATTTTAGCACGTTTTAAAACACTATGCAATAGTGTATTACTGAGTGTAAATGATATTTTTATGGAAATTATTAAATGGATCCTGTTAATTCGTAAAATAAAGCCCACCCTACACCTGCCCTAACCCTAACCAATAAACACCCGTGAGGCACGTTATTTTCCACTTTTCGATTATTTCCTTCCTTCAACGAGTTTGGCAAAAGGTGGATTCGAACTCTGATTGATTGCATCAAAAAGTAATTGTTACATTACTTTATTACCTACACTACTACTAGAGAGGCTGTCTTTTGCAATGTTGTCTAACCCTACCACACGGTGGTGGGCAGAGCTAGTGTAATTAGCCTCTGCCAGCAAGGTGGGCTATTTGCACTTAGTATAAATAGACACTCCTTTATGTAAAATATGTGAAAATAATAATTTTTTTTTTTTGGAACAATCAAGCATGAAGCCTTTTAGTGTACATCCCAAAAACCATATAAAGACTTCGTAAAAGGGCATAATAAGACCCCTTTAATGGAATGTATATCTGAGAGTGCCCTGCAATGCTGAAAATGAATAAACAAATGATTTCTAACAGGACCCAGTACTCTTCTCTGGAACTCTGCGGATGAACCTGGACCCTTTCGAGAAGTCTAGTGATGAGGAGATATGGACGGTTCTGGAGCTGGCTCATCTCAAAGATTATGTCAGGGGTTTGCCAACAGGACTTCAACACGAGGTCTCGAAGGGTGGAGAGAATTTGAGGTTTGTGAGCTGTAGAAACATGAACATGTTCGTATACATTGAACAAATGTGCTGTGAATGCACATAATACATATTAGCAGTGCTTGAAGTGGGCCAGTACGCACCGGTACGCAGTACCGGCACTTCTATATTTTAGCCTTTAGAGTACCTGCACTTTTTTGTGCGTACCGGCACTTCTGACATGTTGCCGGTACTCAGAGTAAAAGTGTCAGGGTCTGGGGTCTGGGTGGATCCCATATATGATTAGAAAGGACAATATATAAATCACACTACCCAGGTGGGATCACCTCTCATCTCGACCAATCACGTGAATGAATTCAAGCAGAGTGTGTGGTGTGCGAGAGCATGTCAGGGGAGTAGTAGAATAATAATTAATTATTGATTATTGATTACTAATTTGAATCAGTAGGCTACTTTATTACGAAAATAATATCTTAAAATGAAAAGAAGCAGGCTTTTGCGATCACATCATTTTAAACCGGTAAGCTCCTGGAAAGTCCAAGGATCCAGTAAACGAATTCCAACAGTAAGTTCAAAACTGCGCTAATGCAGAGAAAACATGGCCGATTTCATCAGCGATTGCAGAGAGAATAGTGACTTACGTCCAGATGTCAGTAATATTATTCTTTTCAGCGTGTATTTGGAGAATTATATGAAAAATAATGTGTTTTTTTAACATGTTAGACTGCACCCCATAAACACAATCAAGCCTAGAAAAAAACCAGTGAACCACCCCTTTAAGGCGCCCCTGGTCATAGTACTATAATAATGAGAATCAGCTACAGCTAATCCTTTAATAGAGGATATAGCGTTCAGTGCTAATCTATTGTTTTCATTTCCAGATGTATGTTTAGTGTCTGATGTTTGCCTGTTTTTGGATCTCCGACAGTGTTGGTCAGAGGCAGCTGCTGTGTCTCGCCCGGGCCTTGCTCAGGAAATCCCGTATACTGATCCTGGATGAAGCCACCGCAGCCGTGGATCTGGAGACAGACGATCTCATCCAGAACACCATCCGCACAGAGTTTTCCCACTGTACCGTGCTTACCATCGCACACAGGCTGAGCACCATTTTAGACAGTTCACGGCGAGCAGCCTTCAAGACCAGTCCATTTCATATATACAGAGCTTGTTTCAAAGCAGCTTTGCAGAGATATGTTGCAGTAATACTGTATTCAATTTAATAAGATTCTCATTAGCGGTTCCATTTAATGCTCGCCCTAAAATGCCTTAGTACATTCGTCTGTAAATCCACAGTAAGCCCGCCAAAAGCAACGTGACAAGAAATTAAAAACTCACCTAGTTGGCATAGACTACTGTTATCATGACACCACAGTTTCAGCGTTCAGAACTATTCCCAGTAAAATTAATATTTAGAAATTTGATATTGTAAGACACTTCTACAGTGTTGGCCTACCATAAACCTTTTTTAGGGAGCTGTATTAAGATACCTTGAACCTAAAGGACCTAGAAAAATATATGCATATGTAAAAATTAAATTAAATTAGGACTATGTTTATAAAAACTAAACTGAGGACACATTTTGGAGGCATAAAGCTGGAAGTTGTACTGACCCTTTCTCTTCTCTCTTGTTGTAGGGTAATGGTCCTGGATTTTGGTAAAATCGTGGAGTTTGATTCGCCCAGTGTATTGCTTAACAACAAACAGGGACATTTCTATGCGATGGCTAAGGATGCTGGAATCAGAGGAGAAACGAGTACACCTAAAAATATGTCCACTGACCTATGATGTTTTCTCTTTTAAAACTTTTGCTTGAGGACCAAAAAAGGAAATGTTACGCAATTACAATATTATTTCTCTATAATCCTGTTGTTTTTTGTTGATGTGTTGACATGGATTTATATGTTGTGGCAATACAGTTGATTAAATTTTGCACAATTTGGAAACCATTTAGAATTTTTGATTGCACTGAATTTTTGTACTGAACATTTATGTTGGTGTGACTGCCGTCCTGTTGTTCATCCACACAAAAACAGTACAAAACAGTTCAACAGGTACACCAGCTGAATATGGTACACATATCAGCATACTTCCCCAGCTGACTGATTACATTAAGAATAGCAAACATTTTGTTGGTACATTTAAACATGCAACTGAGGCTATATCTAATTAAATTTGTACTAATTTGTATACATTTCAGAATGAAAATTCACGTTTTTGACATATTAGATTAAAAGCTATTATATAGAGGAAAAAAGAACATTTTGGAATTGTTCTTTTCATCACTCCAAAAATCTAAGAATACCAGAATACAATAAATAACTTAAGTAACTTAAAAGTGTATTTTTGAATGATTTATTTACACTAGTTTCAAATAACATTTATTTCTTTTTTTTATGAAAAGCCAAATGGCCAAAATCACCAAACTGACTTATAGGCCTACACGAAGAAAAAAAAAAAAGCGTTTTGTCCTTAGTAGTTGTTTGCAATGTGTCAGGAGAGTGTTCTGCTGCTGGTACACTTTGCTACAGGCAAACACTACAGAGCAAATACAGTCACTGATGGACATACTGCAAAATACAGCAGTGTTCATGCATAGAGTTATGATTATGATGCATAATGCATGATTTCCCGTGGCCTCATTAGATGGTAAAGTGTTTTTTTTTTTTGTTTTTTTTAAATAGGAGAGTGTTCTGCTGCTGGTACACTTTGCTACAGGCAAACACTACAGAGCAAATACAGTCACTGATGGACATACAGCAAAATACAGCAGTGTTCATGCATAGAGTTATGATTATGATGCATAATGCATGATTTCCCGTGGACTCATTAGATGGTAAAGTGTTTTTTTTTTTTGTTTTTTTTAAATAGATGCGTATTCTGGTTGTAGGAATTCTGAATCCAGAGTTTAGACAGATCCTTTAAGGGAAAACATGTACAGTAGAATCATCTCTTGTGCTGTATGCACAGCGTACAGTAGGTGGCGCTGATACTCAGAAGGAGGAAGCGGCCAACGAAACCAGAAGAAGAAGAAGCAGCCGAAGAAGCGCATGGGTAGTGAGTTATGCGAGTATGTTGGTTACGTGACTAGTAATTTGATAATAATTTCATAAGAAGAGATTGAGATCATGGTGCTGCTACTCAGACTCGCCTTGTCGTGTCGCTGTCAAACTACGGGGAGAAATTTACAGCAGATACAGGTAAGACACATGCATATTATTATTACAGCAGCGGTCAATGTATGAATATAATATCGTTTTCCAGTAACACACATGTGCTTTATCAGTATGCAGCATTAAGTGTATAGAGCGTATCGCTGTACAGTTTGTAATGCAGTTTCAGTTCCGGACAGAACGTGACCTGGTCGTCATGAATGAAATAACGTTAACGTTACGCAAACTCTCCAGCGTTTCTGTTATTATTAACAACGTTAACAACGGGTCACAATGAGATGCCTGACTTATTACAGGTGAAACGTTGCCACTACCTCCCATTATATGATACAGTGAAACACAAACCCCCGATAAACAAGCCCAAGGGCGACACTATACTGTTCACTGTTCGGCTATGCAATTGATGCAGTTATGAGCTAAATTACATTGTTGCTGTTTTAGGAAGATAACAGAAATGTGCTATTTACAAATACTTCAAAATGGACAAATCAAAGCTCACATTGTTTTTAAAAAGTTATAATGTATGCCACTTTTTTATCCTGTGATCAGGAATTTATATGTATATATATATTAGTGCTGTCTAACGATTAATCACATCCAAAATAAAAGTTTTTGTTTACATAAATGTGTGTGTACTGTGTATATTTATCATGCATGTATATATTTAAGAAAAATATGTTATGTTTACATATTAAATATATTTATATATAATATAAATTATATGAACCTGTATGAATCAATCATTCATTTATTATTAATTATTATTATTTATTATTATAAGTGCATCTGGTCGTTACTAATAAAATCATTAATATTTAATGCATTCACCTGTCGAGTGACAGTTCAGCCACAATTTAAGGGAGGTTACAGTAATGGCAGTTTTGTGAATAGCCGACTGAGTCGTCAGTGAATGTAAATATGTGGAACCAAAAATTAGACAGGTGTTTAGACAGCATTATGCCTCGCAGTGTGAATGCAGCCATCAGCTGTAGTCAGCTGTGCCTTTAATTATAGAGGTCACTTGTAGTTTTGATGCTTAAGTAACTGATGTTAAACATACTTACAGTAAGTGTTTGAGAGCTACATGAGCGACTTTTATTTAAAGCCTTTTTTTTTTTTCATAAAATGTCGTTACTTTTGCTTAACTGTGACGATCGGATACTTCTATGCAGTGTTGGCTGTGTGTGAAATATGTCTTCGTTGTGAATGTGTTTACAGCGAACCCCTTTGCGACAGTGGCTGCTGCAGAGAGGACAGACCACAGTGACCACAGAAGGTGGACATGCGTCAGTCAGGGCGGCGTCGATCCCAAACGCGGCGAGCGATCGAGTGCTGGGCCGCTGGCTGGTGGGCTGCAGTGGGCTGGTGCTGGGCGCCGTGGTCCTGGGAGGGGTTACCAGGTGAAAACACAAGTTCATTAATGCCTTATAAAGTCACCTGCACAAAGTCAAACATGAGTAGACAAAAATCTAACGGTGGTTGTGTGTAGTCTTTTTTTATATATAGTAGACCAAAAAATTCGAATTTCAAATATTCGTCGAATTTCAAATAAAAATCCACTTTCGAATGCAAAAACGTTGTGCGTCAGGCAGCATTATCAGTGGCGCACGAGATGCTACGTTGTTCATTCAAAATATTGCAGAAAAAGAGAACATCAGTGCGGAGATCACACTGAACGCATATTTATCACATTTTCTAGAGGGACGTCTATCACCGTTGCACTCGCGTCTCGCACAAGAGAGCGGCATGTTTAGAAAGCCATGTAAAATTTAAAATTATGGTGGTTTTCCCCATCCCACTGCATCTCAAGTTTTTAAATGAAGAAAGTGCTCTTTGTGATTGGTTTTCGGTCCTTTGTATTGAACTGTACATACATGCATGATGCTGTTTTGTTTCTAATTGTTTAAGCAACTTTAATTATATAAGGTTTATAAACTTTATTTTAAACATTATGCACTTTTTTCAAAGATAGTCATGTTATTTTATTATGCTTTGAAGAAACGCGCATTAGTAATATTTTGTTCGATGCGCCCTCTTGTGGCCTCAGGAGAGAAGCCAAAAGCTTTTTTT